AACATTTTTACTGATATGTCCTCTAGAGCAAGGAATATAAAGGAAAGAATAAACAAATGGGATCTCATCAAAATAAAAAGCTTCTGCATGGCTAAAGAAAACAGTATTAAATGAAAAGACAACCAACTGTATGGGAAAACATATTTGCCAATGATCCCTCAGACAAAGGTTTAATCTCCAAAATATACAAAGAACTTACATGACTCCACTCTAAGAAGACATCTAACCCAATTAAAAAAAGGGAAAAGGACTTGAACAGACACTTCTCCAAGGAGGACATACAGAATATCCACAGACACATGAAGAAATGCTCAATATCATTAGCTATCAGAGAGATGCAAATTAAAACCACAATGAGATACCATTTACACCAGTCAGGATGGCTATCATAAACAAAGCAACAAACAACAAATGTTGGAGAGGGTGTGGGGAAAAAGGGTCCTTAGTTCACTGTTGGTGGGATTGCAGACTGGTACAACCATTATGGAAAACAGTATGGAATTTTCTAATAAAACTAAAAATCGACCTGTCTTTTGACCCAGCAATTCCACTGCTAGGATTATATCCTAAGAATCCTAAAACATCAGTATCAAAGAACCTATGCACCACAATGTTCATAGCAGCACAATTTACAATGGCCAAGAGATGGAAGCAACCTAGGTGCCTGTCAGTAAATGAATGGATCAAAAAATTGTGGTACATATACACAATGGAATTCTATGCAGCAGAGAGAAAGAAGGAGCTACCACCCTTTGCAACAACATGGATGGAACTGGAAAGCATTATGCTGAGTGAAATAGGCCAGGTGTTGAAAGACAAATACCATATGATCTCACCTTTAATAGGAAGCTAAACAACAAAACAAACAAGCAAGCAAAATAAAAACCAAGACACTGAAATAGAGAACAAGGGGACAGTGACCAGAGGGGAGAGGGAAGGGAATTTAAGGGGGAAAAATGAGAGAGATTTGGAGGAACAAGTATGAAGGACACAGGGGCGAGGACTGGGGGGGAGGAAATGGGAGGGAGGTGGGGAGCACGGGGCGGGGGTGGGCTGGGATGGGAGAAATAGACAAAAAAAACTATACTTGAAAAATAACTAAATAAAATTAAAAAATTAATTTTGCCCTTAAAATAAAGCACAATTTATAACTCTAACTTCTTTTTAAGTGGCTGGGGTACAATATGCTGTTGATAAGAGACATCCTTGATTAGACTGTCTAGTTAACTGTTCGTGCTGGCAATTGTGATCAGTGAATATGGTTGAAATAGTCAATTATGAAACTGAAAAAGACGAAATGAAGGCTAATATTTCCGAGCCCTATTGCCAAGTGAAATAAATGAATACTTATCCTGGTGAAAAAAATATATATAACAAATTTATTATTTATTCAAAGAGGTTAATGTTTTAATTCCTTACTCAAGGTACTTGGCTGTCTCCATCTGCACTCCCGCCCCTGAAATCTCAGTAACTTCACAGGAAATTCCTGTGCACATGAAACGCCTTCCTCAGCAAGCTCTGTCCCCTCCAATCAGGAGAGAATATTTCAATAAATAATATATATTTATTTATATTCTATCCAAAATATGTATTTAATTTGTCTTTTAATATTTATTCTAGAAACCAAACATAAAATTCATGAAATATATAAGTGATATATAGCAACCATATCTTTATATGTAATTGCAATAAAAGTTTATATATATTTTATGTCAAATATTTGGATTTTAGAGGCAGGATAATTTTAATCTAATATGTTTCCTTTGATTACCTTCCTAGGATTGGAGTTTAAAAACTCTAGGGATTTCTGGTGGAAAATATGAATGCTGATTCCAATGTGATACATTTCTATTTGAATGACTATATATATGTGTAATAACATATTATATGACACCTATTAGTTTAGGACATCAACAGTAATCTAAGCATTTTCTATATTGTTTTATATGCATTTATGCCAATAAAATTTCACAAAGAGAGAAGTACAATATTACCATTTAACAATAAAACTGTTGACATTTACAAAATTTTCTCATATAGTAGTAACACAGAAATAACCTTTTATCCCCTTAATGTTCAGGGGAAGCCAGGGAGAACAAAATGCATATACTCCGTGCTGCTTCTGTTACTAATTTGCCTATGTAAGCGAAATTGTGGGCTTTCTGTGGAAGTAAAAGACCTGCAAATCACATGACGAATAAAATGGCATATAGCTTGCCAGGCATTTGTAGAGCGGCAGCCTCTGAATGACGGATTTGATGAGATTAACAGACTTCTGTCCTTCACAGCCTCCAACCATTTTATCTGTCTTCTTCAGAGTTTCTTTTGGTACCATTTATTGAAAAAGCTATTTGCTATTATATGAAGATTGACTAACACATTTCCACCATGTTTCTTAAAGGTATAGGAATAATACATTAAACATAAAGATTCTTCCCCCAGTGAGTGTATATATAATAAAGAATATATAATATGTAATACAAAATCTATAATGTATAATCTCTTTATATAAAAATAACATAGTATTTATGAGATGAAGCAACATTAAACATGTATTTTACACAAATTTTTAACATAGATCTTTTAAATTCAGGAAGAATTTTTTTTTAGCATTATGGAGACTAACCAGAGCGCTTTCCCACATATTTTACTTGCAGGTATCAACATTGTTGTCATTGTTCTGATCTAGAATTTACTCACAGTATCAACACTTAATAAGCTCTCTGAAAAGGAAGAACTACCCTTATAACCAGCAGCGAATCCCAATGCCAAGTCATATTCATAATTACTCATCTTTTCAAACATGTTTGACATGAATGATTCAGCATATCTGGGTCGTTGCCAGTTGGTGCCAACTGGCACAGTGTCACTGGAGGAAACGTGATAACTACAGAGGCAAACAATGACTGGCAAACAAAGCACTCCCTTATTTGATCCAGGTATAGAAAGGGTTATTTTCTGAAGAAGCAGTAGAGTAGGTTGTCCCTCCCTCCTTCCCTTTCTCCCTCCCTCCCGTCCTTATTCCCCTCTCTGTCTCCCCCTCTATCATTTCTGAGATTCCTTAGCAGTTAATAAAATGTGTTTGGGCACAGCAATGTAACTCTTATGAAACATACCATGAGACCATGACCATGAGATAAAAAGAATCATGACTTCCTTGGGCTTTCCACTGTGAGATCTCAGTGTGTAATTTTATAGTTTTCATAATCCCCAAATTCAGTTAAAACAGAAAGAAGGTTTAGGGGAAAAAAGAAAGAAAAGAAAAGCAGGTTTGGGGTACTATGAAACTAGAGAAGTGCAAAAATGAGTAAGAATTTACATTCTACATGATTAAGAAGCAAATTAAATAACTTTAAAAAAAATAGAAAATATAGAGGCATGTGTATTCTCATAATATACTAAAGGGTTGCATTTTACTAGTTCATTCACCAGGTAGATCCAGCCCTTTGATCAAAGTGCCAGCCGACAAGCAGGATCTGTGGGACATGGCACAGTTAAAACAAGACTAACAGTCCAGTCGAGTACTTGGGCTCCAGCCCCACTTACCTTATTAACTAAACTGACGATTTGGCACTAAGTAGAAATACAGGAGCAAATACTCTCCACCCCTGTTTTACTTAGGAGCTGGAGAGTGAAGATAAGGCAATAAAAACATGGAGGTAATTTGGGGGAACCCTGTAAGATTGACATATCCTGCACCTCCCATGGGGATGTTTTATTTGGCCAGTTTTCCCTGAAGATTTGCTTTAGTTACCTTGGTTATTCCAGGTCTAGCAAGCAAGTCACTAAGTCAACTGTTTCTGCCTGCTATTTTCTGATGCTTGTTTTCTTCTTCTTTTTTTCTTCTCAGAAATATACACAATTGCTCCTTTCATGCAATCATCATATACAAAACAAACTGCACAATTAGGAAATTGTCCAAATTCAACTTGCCTTTCTGTAGCTTTCTTTCTTTCTAACCTCTCTTTGAAGTATTTATCTCCACCTGAGTTCACATCCCCCTCAGAGTCAATGCTACTCACATATAAAGTGAATGTGCAGTTAGCGTGTCTCCCAGTAATTAACGAAGATGTTAAGGGCTAATGCCAATTTAGTGGCGTGAGCTGGACGCCTTCCATTACCTGGTGTGTCATTGTTTATGGTCTATTAAGCAGTTTTCATTTCACCTTATGGGCCCATATAAAACCCAAGCTGGATGTTTCTCACATTATAGGCAGTATTGCAGAATATTAAAAGCTTCTTTTTGTTTTTTAAAAAAATCATCTCTAAATTTACTGAAGCCTAGCTGAAAAACTGGGCAAAGTATATATGTTTTAAACTTCTCTGTTTTTTTTAAATTTTTATTTAGTTATTTTTCAAGTACATTTTTTGTCTATTTCTCCCATCCCAGCCCCCCCCGCCTGTCTCCCCCCTCCCTCCCATCCCCCCCCCCCAGTCCTCATCCCTGTGTCTTTCATACTTGTTCCTCAAAATCCCTCCCCCTTTTTTCCCTTAAGTTCCCTTCCCTCTCCCCTCTGGTCGCTGCCCACTTGTTCTCTATTTCAGTGTCTTTGTTTTTATTCTGTTTGCTTGTTTGTTTTAAACTTCTCTGTTTTTAAAAGTCTTTTATACCCCTCTCCTTAAATCATATTCATTGTTTTACACTAATGGTAGTACTTCTCATTTTTAAAATAATGTACTTTCTGGTTTTTGTTTAAATCTGTTTTTCTAACCATAGTATCATGGTTGTTTTGATTCATCTTTCAAGTAGGGCTTTTAATTTTCCAAAAGTTCTCTTATCGTGTCTGCTTTACTTTTTACCATTCTTACATATGAACATACATGCTGACATGCAAAAGTCAGTGGACCAGAGGCATCACGGGGGAGCAGAGTTGCTTTCAAAATCCACCCCGTCATGCAGGCCTCCTTGGGCCTCCGTAAGGGCAGGGCCGACCTCAAAGGGCCCCAGTCGTCTGAAATCTACAGTGCAACAGAAGAAAACGTATGGAAGCATCACTTACCTGCTTTTGACCAACAATTATTTCGAGGTCTTCATCACTGCTTAGTTTTCCATATCCTTTTTCTTTACTTTTCTTGTGAAAGAATAATTTTAAATGATCATTTAGTTTCCATTAATTACCTTAATTCCCACTTAATACTTATAAAAGATAAAATTTACTTAGCCTTGTTCCTTAGTCATAACACTTCATTCTCTAGGTTAGTGTTTCATGGATGACAGCAGATGTTTTTTATTCTTAAGTTGTTTGTTTATAATTATTTATTTTCTGCTTAGTCTCTTCCATATGCCTTTAATCTTCTCTGAATATTGGTATGCTTTTTTTTCAGTTCTTAATACTTTAATATAAATAAGTTCTTCAAGAGTCTCAGTATAGCCCTGGCCAGGTTGCTCAGTGGTTAGAGCATCATTGTACCCATATGCTAAGGTTATGGGCTCATCCCCTGGTCAGGGCACAGAGCACATACAAGATTACATCAATAAATGTGTAAATAAGTTTAACAACAATCAATGTTTCTATTTTCTCTCTCCCTCTTCCCCCTTCCTCTGTCTCTAAAATCAATACAAATAAAATAAGAGGGACCCAGTACATTTTGCTTAAAGATTGAAATTGCACTTAGTAATACTAAATTGAAGATTTCAACTATTAAATGTTGTATTTTAATTCCTTATATATTTTTAAGAATAAGACAAGTATTATGCAACTCAGATAACAAATCTTTAGATTTTATATATTTGCTTATAAATCAGATAAAAACTAACATTGTAAAAATGACTCAGAAATAATTTTAAAAAGATACATAATTTTCAAAATTACATAGTTTGAAAAGTTAGAAGAGTATAGACCACCTTTAACAGTTACTTTGTTGGCATTTTGTCATTCCCCCATCCCCCGCCACGACCATTCTCCAGCTGCCCATTCCACTGAAAAACTTCTAACATTAGAAAAGGACATAGATCGTGGCAACCATTTTACTATTGTGCTTCCAGGAGAAAGTTCATTTATCTGAATCTTTTGTTTTCTCCCTCCTGCTGCATTGGCTGATCGGAATGCCCAAAATGACACGTTTCTTCATCATTTCAGAAATCAAAGTACCTCTGTAGAGGCCCAGTAACAAAAAGGAAAGAAAAAAATCACTATATGGTTAGCTTCAGTTCAAGCTTCTTATTTTTTAAAAAACAATCCTTTTTCTAGGTATTAGCTACATTAGCTACAATTAAGGGATTTAAAAATGTTTCTTTGTGTTTGCACCTACTGTGCCACATTAGACTCCCCATCTCACTGAAACAACAAACTACATCCTTCAGGGACCAGGACATGAACCTGTTTACATTGTGGAACATGATTCTTGTCTGTTTTTTTCCCATAACATTTCAAAACCATGTTTCCACATTTCCTCCCCAATAAACATACCTGCTTTTTGTGTTTTTTTCAGCAATAAAGGTTTCTGAATCTTCAAGTATTGGGATACATAAATAAAATCTCATTCATATATTAATGAATTTAGCCACTTAGAACAGAACAGATGGCCACAGTATTCTCTCTGTTGTTATTCTTGTCCTCATTTGAGGTTCCATTTCAGGATTAATGGGAAACAAAAAGAACAAGCTGGTTGCAGTCAAGCTGTCTTCCTATCACTTTGCTTTTGTATCCTTTTAGTCCACTGGTTGCCATAGGACATTGTCCACAGAACCACTAATGCAAAACATTTAGAAATGCCTTTCCAAATATTGATCTGTATACGTACCAAGTAGCTCATTTGCATGACCCGATTTCTGGACAAAAGGACATTAAGTAGAGATGGAATGTGGGTCCTTCCATCCATTTCACTGTCACACATCCCAGAATTCTTTGCACCAGTGGCAGTGGCTTCATTGCCAGAACTTGCTGACTGAAGAATCACAGCTTTTGCCCAGCAATAGTACTTATAATGTATGACAATAACTGAAGTATCCCTGAATCATTATCTTGGCTTTGTAAACATTGTGAAAATTTAGGCTACCACAAAAAGTCATTGAAACAAAATTTTCTCCTTTTCTAATTTTTATCCAAGCACTTCTGTTTCCTGACTGCTGTTCTAGTTCAGTGCTTTTTTAAAAAAACCCACCTATTATTAATTATATACATTTGTATATTTCACCCCACACATATGGACTACTCAGCTACTCAGCATCTTTGTCATAAAAGCTCTCAGTTTTTCCTTTTTAATGATCCACCCCAGACTTCCTTGTGATTAGCAAATCACTGCTGACTGATACAAAAATGTCAGCACTCACAGAACATAGAAGTCAAGGTTGCAATTTCTGCCAATACAAAATTCCACCTTTCCAATTTAACCCCAACTCCTTATCTGATATAGCAGTAAACTCTTCTGGGGAGAGGTTAGGACAGGGAATATTATAGCCCCAACTACTGTAAGTAGAAGTTGGTATTTTCCATAAGTGGGAGGGTGAATTTAGATTCTGCACTTAAACCCCTAGTCTCCAAACAGCACACAACTATACACAGTCAGAATCTTTACAGTCTTACTCTAGAGTTAAGCACTATTTTCTAGTTCACCCCCATAACCCCAGGGGGATTAAGCCTATTTCTAAACCGTAATGGTTATTCGCTCACTTACTGCTTATTTCTAGTGCGAGCATAATCCTCTTTGGAGCACTCAGCTCCCACTTTGACGGCTAAGCTCAGCCAGCTCAAGCGGGTGTCTTCAGCTCTCCTCCCTCCTCCCAGCTGGGGATCCCTGTCTTCTATCTACGCACTTTTGTCAAGCACAAAAAGCACATCCAGAGCTTCTGCGTGGTCTTTCACGTTAGCCAAAGGACTGAACTAGAAGGAGAAAGAAAGCTAAACTCTTCACTGTCCAAGCCCGAGGAGGCAGGGCTTGTGTGGGAGGAGAAGCCAGAGGGTAATCACTTCCTGTGCTCCTCCCACCTCTCCGGTCGGACAGGGGAGCTGAGATTTCAACTGAGGCAGGAAGGCCAGGCCCCTTCCCACCCCAGCCTCAGAGTGGTGTCTGCTTGGGGCCGATCTGTACACTGCTTACCTAAGTGCAGTCAGTTGCTGAGAGAGCATCAGTGCAGTGAAATGGTGAAGACTTTGAGGTGGGGAAAGTGAGGGAAGAGACAAAGGAAATAGTCATCATTTGCCAACAAGGCCTCATTTCCTGTGAGAAGCTTTCGGCTGAAGATAGGTGTCCCATCTCTAAAACCCTAAACATACTATCTCCCATCTTCCCCACGCCATTCCTAATCCTTTCTGAGGGACTGGAAACAGAAGTGTCCAGTCCTTTCCTAGCGCTGATAACTTTCTTAATGCCACCGAATCAGATCTGTTTTTTTTTTTTCTTGAGAGCATTGAGCCTAACAGCTAATCTTTCCTCTCTGCTGGCATTCCACCATCTCTCCTTAACCCTCTTTACCTCTCACTTCCCACCCCTCACTCTCTCCTCCACAAAAGTAGCATACAAAGGTATGTTTACTCACTGGAATTAAATACACCATAACACTTGGAAATTATACAGGGAAAATGTATGGTTGCAGATACAGCATGTATTACAGAAGAAGATTTTGCAAGTAACAGCAAAACAACAACAAAGTCTGATGGGATAGAAATGTGAAAATGAAGCACTCTAATGTTCAGTTTTAGAATAAGATTTTACTAGAAAATAACAGTATTAATTGAAAGGCACTACTTGTATCTGGGTTGAATTAAAGGGATTCTTCAAACTCATTAGTTACAGAATATATAAAGGATAGTTTGAAAAGAAAAAAGGAACACATGATTAGTTAACTGGACAAATTATCTTCAAATGTGATTTTTGCCAAACTATGGATGTCAACATAAATGTAAAGGTTAAAGATTATATGTTGATGTTTAAATTTTTTTACTACCACTTATTTAATACTAAAATGAATGATAAATAATAGACCTAAATTCATTAAAGCAAATGTTGCATGGAGACTATACAGACAAAAGTATAGGGACCTTCATATTCTCTTCTTCATGGTAGTCAGAAGGTACTCAGTTCCTATCTTCTCATTATCCTTATCTTCAATCCCTTCTGAAGGCTGCGAAATTGTTTAGTTTCCCCTGTTCTAAAAGATGACTTCCTCATATCTGCTTTCTCCTGAAGTAGCAATTTTCAACATTTTTCATCTCATAACACACATAAACAAATTACTAAAATTCTGAGGCACATCAAAAATGTATATTTTGCCAATCTGACAAAAACCAGGTATAATTTTGACTCATTCACATTGGGTCAAATGTGACTGTTGTGTTGGCTATGGTCATTTTTTAAATTTGCCAATGTAAGGGAAAAGAGAGGAGTGGCCCTGAATAAATACTCAGGTATTGCACATTTAAAAAAATTCTTCCAGGGGGAGAGGGATAAGGAGGGAAAGAAGGGGAAGGGTCTAGTCAAGGAACAGGTATAAATGACCCCCAGACATGGACACCAGGGTGGGGATTGACTTGTGGGGGTTTGGTGGGCAGGGGAGAGCAATGGGGGAAAATTGGGAAACTGTAATAGAACAATAAGAAAAAATACCAATGGAAAAAATTTAAAATAAAAATTCTACGGTATACCAGTGTGCCACTTGAGGCATACCTGTTGAAAATCGCTGCCCCAAAGGCATTCATTTAATCTCTCTTAATTCTTCACTGTCAAGCTTGAAAGAGTGATTCATTTTTACTAGCAATAGTTCCTTCTTATTTCTTTACTTCTAAACCAATCAAAATCAGGTTGCAATTTACTGTAATTGCATTCTTGACAATCACCAATGGGCTCCTAATTATCAGATTCTCTAGCACTTCTTTTTTAGAGCTAATTGTATGTTAGCCCCAAATGCAATTTGTGATTAACTACAGATGTCAAAATAAATGGAAATACTATTTCCTTCAGTGGTCAAGTTTGTATGAAGTATTTTTTAAAAATGTCTTTGCTGTTATTTACACAATTATGGCTATTAAATGGCGTCTCAATCAACTGAACAGAGTATCAGAGAGGACAAATTGGGAAAGGAGATGATGTGCTGAGAAGTTATTTCCTGAGTTTGTGGTATCTTTGGAAAGTTCATCTATGTGGAAATGTGCAGTCAGCCCTTTGGACATACAGGCCTATATATCTTAGATGAGAAGAGAGATAAGGGAGGACAAATAGATCGCTGAGGATAATCAGAACTGGAGCCTTGGATGGGCTCATTAAGATGAAGACTAAGACCAGAGTCCTGGAGAATGTTACATTTAAAGAATGGGCCGAAGGAAAGAACCCAGTGAAGGAGACTGAGTAGGAGAGTTCATGGTAGAGAGAGATCTGATCAAATCACTGCGGAGAGGTTGTAGAAGGAGGTTGTAGGAAGAGGTTGCCTGAAGCGATAGTAAAAAGTCTAGGATGGGATTGGCTGAGAAGCTGAATGCTTCCAGAATGCATGGAATTATGGGCCAGATATTTAATATAAAGAGAGGACAGAGACTGGCTCTCAGGCTGTCTTCCTTAAGGATGCCCAGATGATCGTGTTGCAGCTGCCTGTGTTTCCCAAAGGACGGTATTTTGGATGGGAGAAGAAACTCTGGGCATAGCTTAGGATCAGGCTGGCCTGGCAGAGGGTACGAGTTATTCTCTGAGTGTTCTAGAAGAGATGAGCTCTGAGGCAAAGCCTGCCAGTCTTCCAAAAATCATTAAAAACTAATGGGGGGTGGGGTGGGGAATGATAGGTGAATTCCGGTGTTAAAGATTTATTGATAAGATTAAGTGATTAAAGCTGTATGTGGAAAGCTGTTATTCCGAAATTGTGTAGCTTTTGAATAAAGACTCCTTTCCTTTCTCACCAAACCTTTGCCTCCAGAATTTTGCCTAGAGGGTGGGGTGGAGCAGCAGGCCCCCACTTCCTGTTTGGTAAGGGTCATACAAGTAGGAGAACCAGGAGAATGCAGTCAAAGGAAAAAAGAGTTCTGGATGGTGTCAAGGGCTGATGAAATGTTAAGGATGTGAATAGCAAACTTACATTGTATCTGGCAGTTTGGAAGTCATCAAGGATGAGGAATAGAAGAATTCCTGAAGATGGAGCCAAGATTAGAGTAAATTGATGAATGCAGGGTCAGTAAGGGAGTGAGAGAGGAGTTAGTTTCCCTTAGGAAAGCTTGGATGAAAAGGGAAAGGGAAAAATTGTGAAGATAGTAGAGCTCATGGTAAATGTTCTACCCACAGTTTAAAACAAAAAGGAAAAAGAGGAGCCAATAATGCTAGTGAAAAGACAAAAATATAGAGGGAAGGAATGATATGAGAGTTACTATAGTTGCTCCCAACCCTGTTGTGTAAAGTCTTTGAGTGTGTGTATAGTTCAAGAAGAAACTGATAAAAAAAAGTGAAAATGTGGGTATCAGAGGGCTAGAGGGGGGCAGTTCATGAGGCAAGAGAGTAAGGACAAAGCCCTTTTAGAGAAAAACTGCACATCTCTCTTTTAAAGTACAAAATTATGTTATATATATATTTTTATAGTTATATATCTATAGAACAAAAATAGGAGGGATATATATGAAATATTAAAAGTCCTTTTCTCTGAGAGATGAAATTATTTATGCTCTATGTGTTCTCTTTATACTTGGGGTACTTTTTGAGATAAGAATACATTTCTTTTCTAATAAAAAAAGTAAACAAAATATGATTGCTGAAGAGATCCATAAACTTGCTGTGGAAAAGACATTTAAAGTCCATTTTGTTGAAAAATGACTAGGTCAGGGTTTTACCTTTTATTATGTTTCTGGAGGAATAGAAGCTTTTTTTTAAAATGTAGAGATTCATGCTACAGTTATTGCTTATGTCCCTTGTGGCAAGTTGTTGGGATGGTGGAGTGAATGTTTTGTTTATTGCATTTA